ATAATGCCATGACCACATACTAAACTTATAAGCTTTGGGTTGAAATTTTTTTTTTATTATAAAAATACAGCACATAAAATAGAAATCTGAGCTTGATAAAATCACAGTTAGATTCAGCCATTTTAATATTTTTTGACTTAAATCCAGAAAGTGTTCAATTATAGCAAACATTGACAGTGAGCACCTTAATTTTCATTACCAACCAGGATATTACATCTACATTAAATAAAGCCTTTTTTATTTGATTTGAGTTTTTCAATAATGACATTCTAGTCAGCTCAACAATAACCTTTACAAATCAATGTGGTATTGCAAAATCATAAAGCATTAAACCAGAAGTCTTTTTTTTTCCATTGATCTGAGCGTTGACACTTTGAAAATAAACAGCACAAAAAGTAAGGAATTTTGTGTTTGAGTGTCTATTTCTACATTTTAACAATATTTCCTGGCAATAAATCTTATACTGTTGGAAAGTCCTTTACATTTGAAGGAAAATGCATTTGTGGGTTGAGCAGCAGAAGTGAGTTTGCGGATTGCGCTCATGACTCTTGTTTTGAGTGTCTGGTACCAACAAGTAGCAATCCCATATCTCTAAAGTCTTAGACTGAACCCTATCCTCCAACATGACAATTCTCATCCCCAGAGCCGGGCTTAGCAGAATCAAACACAAGTTTCCATACTTCTTGTGACCACCACAGTTAATCGCAGCAGAATTGCATTGGTTTACGTCCTTGGTGAACAGTTGCACAATTCCAGTATATTCTGGATGACATCTACCTTTATGTTTCCTTCCAAGGCTCTGCAAAGGTTCCCGATGGTACAGCCGAAAGATCCTTCCTTCATTTTCCAGGACTCCAGCATCTGGTGCACAATCTCTTGTAAGCCGTCACGGAGGTGGTCGTGCTCTATGGTTTCTATTTCCACACTAGTCAGATTCAGGCGTCGCGCACAGCGTTTCCACTTGGTCCCAATGTTGTTCCTCACCAGATCCAGGTGTTCATCATTTACAGGACAGCGGTCTAAATTAAGCAGAGGGAAGCAATGAATGAGAGACTATTTAAATGATGAGATATTGTTTAAAAGGTGAACATTTTTTCCCCAATTTAATTTCAGTTCAAAACTTTGCTATTATTAAAAATATGTAATGGAATGTGAGACACCGACAGTGTTTGTACAGGAGAGGAAAACCCTAATGCATCAGTAGCTGCGTTTCCATTGACCATGAAAATGAGCAAATTAGAAATTCGAAAATAAATTTTCTCAATGAAAACGTCAAATTCGAAAAAAATTACATTTTTCAACAAAATGGTTTTGCGCTAGAATGAGGTGGTTTTTCGGCCGTATCGAAATTGATGTATTTCGCAAAACTGCAATGGAAACACTTTTTTCGCATCACGTGATCAAGAACCGGCTGTTTCTACTGGTGAAAAAGATGACAATGAAGAAGATAACAAGAAGTAAAAGTAACTAACTCACCGACTACATTTTCCCAAAACGCAGCATACGTAGCCACTCCCAATTATAGGGGGCTTGTCACTCGAAGCCTCGATAAGACACCGACGTCTCCTCTGATGGCTGATGAGCGCTAGTGTCGTGGTAGCAATATACTATTCATTTCTATGTTTACATCCATTGCTGCCATGATTGTAATGACTTATTGCGAGAACAAACGTATTCACGCGTGACTTTAATAGCATTTCTTRCTTAATGGAAACACCGCAATTGCGAAGCTGTGTTTTTCGACATTAACAGATTATCGACAAAGTTTTGCGCACATTTTCAATTTTATTTTTTTGTTTATTTTTTTATTTATGCTCGTGTAAAACGACATAATGGTTGTATTTAAGAAATGTTGTGCTTTACCGTGGTTACAAATGCCTTCTTGTATTGAAGAGCTGGGGGAGCCGTTACATGAAGATAATGAATTTAGAGAAGCATCACAACTTCTGATGCTCATTTTGTTGTTGCATCCAATCTGGATCCCGCTGGCATTCTGAATGTAGAGAGATCCTGGGAAAAGCACAACACCAATAGAGTTCAGTCGCTCCACTTTATACGAAATCAAACAGACAAAGCTGCTATTAACTGTTTTTCTACAAACCTTGATCCTGCAGTGAACTACATGTTGTAGAAGGCAAAAGGCGTCCAGCGGTTGTGTCAGGGGCGGCGGTGTCAGGCACTGGGTAAGCTGGCCAGGACTTCTGTCTGTCAAAGTCGATGTGTGGCTGTTGTGGGTTAAAAGGAGGCAAAGAAGGTGTGCTGACAGATGTGGGGAAATGAGGCGAGGAGGACCTCATAGATGCATAAAGTCCTGAGGTGGGGTGAGGCCAAGCGTCCTCCGGGCCGATGATCGGAGCAGGTTCTCCTTTTGTCCAGGACTGGACGGATGACATTTCCTGTGCTGGCTGCCTCACCGTGTTATCTGTTACATTGAAATAGTTTGGCAAGAAAGGATTTGAGGCATGTCTGTGAAAGCTGTTGGCAGCTTCTGGCTGGGCATCACAAAGGTAGTTGCCGTGTTTGTGGTACAGAAGCTCTCGGCCCAGTTTTTCCTCCAGGTCTGAAGGGGTGCTAAACACCCTTGCATCTGCCTGAAGGGAATCTCCACATGGTTGACACTGGAAGGCATGCAGGTCCTCAATACTGGCTTCAACTGGCATGGATACACTTTTATCTGAACTCACCAAAGGAGCTGGCTGATCTAAGAGTGGGAGAGATTAAAATAAAAAAAGGTAATCACAGGTTTAAAAATGTTGCAAACATTTCAGAAGAATTCAAACTAGGGGTGTCCCGATCCGATATCGATATCGGATATCGGTCCGATATCAGCCAAAAATTGAGTATCGGATTTTATCGGACTGCATAAAAATTGTCCAATATAAGCGCTCCGATATTAGCAGTTCAATCCAGCAGTTCACTGACTCCGCTCCAGTGTTTCTATCCAGCAGCGCTTGGATCCAGCATGCAGAGCTCACGTGATCACAACATGCAGCGCTAACAAGTTAGCAAGAATGTCGGCAGAACTTTCTATTTTCATCAGAAACAGAGTTGCAGCGAAGTGTAAAGTTGTCATGCACAAGTTTTCCGAGGGGGAACACAGAACCGTGAACGTTTTAAACCGGAGCTACAACTGCTCTCCACCCTGGCAGCAGCTTTGCGTTTCGGCTCGGTTCGTTCAGCCTCGGTCCAGTGACCGCACACAGCCGCGCTGTTTCGGAACCTCCTCTCTGGTCCGGTCGGTGGTTCTAAGCTGGCAGAAGCGAGGACAGCACGCTTACACTTTTGACATCCCGTGGATTAGCTCTTGATGGACAAAGGAGAGCGCAGATTTTGTTTTGGAATATGAACGACATGACGAGAGCAGTGATAAAAACTGCTCCCTGCAGGAGAGAGAGGCTAATC